CCCCTCCTCCTCCTCCTCCTCCTCCTTTTTTTCCTTTTTGTTTGGGGGTGGTGCTGGTGGTTACCAGGGATCCTTGAGCTTCCACAGCAAGCAGCAGAACCACTGAGCTAAATCCCCGGCCTTAGCCTTGCTTCTTAACTAGAAGGGAAAGACCCCCATAACCTTCTGAGCCGTGTTTAAACTTTTTAAGAGGTCTATGTCTAGCCTGTGCTCTCTCTGCCACTGACTCTTGTGGCCATCTCCCTCCCACCCAGTCACTGCAGTAGGATGACACCAGAAACCCTATAGTTGCTCTGTAGTTCAGTCTGAAACAACCCCTTCCCAACTTCCTCCTCATTAAATATTTACAAGCATGGCAAATGCTGCACTGGATTTCTTCTCCAATTCTAGGCTGCCCTGTGGAAAGACACATTCAGAGTAAAACCCCACAGTTTTTACAGTTTACAATAAGCATGGGCTTTTCTTAGGGCTGCTGATGCTAGTCTCTACTCTGCCATTTTTAACCCATGGATTCTTCAGAAAAAAATGTTCCTTAACTCAGGGAGGCTGAGGCAGGAGGATCACAAGTTCCAGCCCAGCCTGAGTATCTTAGCAACTTAGCAAAACCCTGACACAAAATATAAAGGTCTGGGTATGTAGACCAGTGCACAGTATTATTATACTACTTAATTTTCATGTCCTTAAGAACTTTACATTTTTTTTTGAAAAATCATTACTAGCTTAATTTCCCTCTGCTCAAATCGTTTTAATATTTTGAGATATGTTGAGGTGAGCTTTATAGCTCAATATTGTCACATTCAATAAATGTTTCCTCCTTATATGAAGTATAGATTTGGGGTGAAATATTTCACAAATCTTGATTTTGTTAATTTTATTAGTCATGTTGTTTAAATATGTTTTTTGTCTACTTTTTGTGTTGGTTGCTGAGAAATGTGTCGAACACTCCTACTGTTACTGTAGATTTGTCTCTCTCCTTGCAGTTTTGTCAACTTTTTGCTTTAGTTTGAAGCATATTGCTAATTATTAATAGAAATGGGATGGTCGTGTTCCTGATGGGTTGATATTTGTATTACAAAACATTTCACTTTATTTGTTTATTTATTTGCTTATTTTTTGCAAGGCAGGAGGCAGAACCACTGAGCTAAATCCCCGGCCCTCACTTTATTTTTAATAATCCTTCTTTCCTGAAAGTCTACTTTGTTTTTGTTTGTTTGTTTGTTTTTGCTTTGTTACTGGGGATCAAACTTAGGATCTTGTGCTTGCAATGCAGGCGCAGTGCTACCACTGAGCTAAATCCCCAGCCCTCTACTTTGTATTTCATTTTATTTTACAGTTATATCAACTTTGGGGGAGTAGGATTACTGTTTGCGTGCAGACATATTTTTATCTCTTTTTTGTACTGGTGATTAAACCCAGGGCCTTCACACTTTGCTATACCTCCAGCTTTTAAAAATTTTTAAATTTTGAGACAGGGTCTCGTTAAATCTAGTTTGGGCTCAACTTGTGATCCTCCTTCCTCGGCTTCCCACAGTACTGAGGTTACAGGCGTGTGTTATCATACCCAGCTTCTTTAACTATTCCTGTAATCTTGACCTTTCTGTGTGACTGTGTTAACAGGACACCTCCTGTTATCTTCTGTAAAAAGCAAATGCAAATAAAGCTAGCGTGTTAATCCGTGTCTTTTAATGTAATATTATGTTTGAGAGAAAGGGGGGTGGGAAGTTTTCACCATGTAGTTCAGCCTCAGCTTGAACTCACTGTGTAGCCCAGGCTGGCCTTGAACTTGTAGCAATTGTCCGTCCTCAGCCTCCTAAGTGCTGAGATTACAGGCATGTGCCACCATGTCTGGCATTATGCCATTTTTTAAAAGATACTTAATGATATATTTAGGTTTCTAGCTACCATCTTACAATTTTTTTTCTATCTGTCCTACTTGTAACTTGCACCTTCTTAAAATCTCTTTTCTTGCCTTCCCTTGGCTTGAGTTTATTTATTATGTTTTTTCTTTTAGTATTTATATTTTATATTAGTCATATATTTTTCACTATTCTCTTAATAGTAACCCTAGACTTTACAACATGCACTCTTGGCTTATTACAGCCGCATATAAATTAGTGTTATTACTATTTTTGAGACAGGATAGCCTTTCTGGCACCCCTATCAGTGGTCTCTACTATTCTGGACTATTTGGAAATTGGCATAGGTCCTCATATTTTGTATAAATAATGCTTGTCTGCTTTTCTCTTCTTTCTGAGCTCAAAAGACCCACTTTTCCATTTTAAAGTCCAATTTTTTTATTCCCTTTTTCATGGAGCCTGTCCCATTCCAGGACAGGAATCTTCTGCCTCCATGGCCTAGGAGTTGGAAACTCACCGCATGTTAATCCTCTCCCTGGAGAGGAGAGGAGAAAAATATTTTTTGTTCTTCTACGATGAGCCAATAGACAAGAAAACAAGATGTGGTTTCTCAATCAACTTATTCTACCACACCTACTAATATTATAATAAGTTTTGTGGCCTTACCTTGGACTCTAACCATAATTAATTATACTTTACTCATGGGGAAATAATTATAAGTTATGAAAACATCAAGAACCTAATATATTTATAGATATATTAAATATACCATTGTTTTTCTTGCTCCTCTTTGAGAAAAGAAAGTCACAGTGATCAATGAGTAAGGCTTATCATGACTATACATAGACTCAGGTCACTTTGCTTTAGTGTTTTGCTTCAACGTTAACACCTACAAGTCAAGTGAACATGAAGAAATACACATTCTATTACCAAATTTCAAGTTATTTTTGTACCTCTTATTTACTTTGCCAGGACACAACACAGAGATAGAAGTAGGTAGTAACTTTTAGAGACAGCTCCCCAAGGTACACTGAAAAGTAAAAAATACAGTTATAAATGCAGATGTGGATAAGGTTTACTGTAGGAATTATATTTTCAGTGTTGTAGCACATAAATCAAAGAACCACGAGGTGATAGCTGGCCTAATAAAACATCACAAAGGGTCCATATGGAAAATACCCAGTGACTAAATGGTGGCGATTTTGACCAAGACCATAACATACACTGCTTATGCTTAAAAAACAAAAAACAAAACATAAGTAACTACATGAATTCCTATTTATTTATTTATATTTTATTTGGTACTGGGGATCGAACTCCGACCCTTTTGCTTGCTAGGCAGGCAGCGGAACCATTGAGCCAAATCCCCAGCCCAAGTTTATCTTCTTTGATACTCTACTTTCAATTTCAAGGAGAGACAATGTAGTCAAGACTTCTTACTTTTTCCTGAGCTCTTTAGCTTTCTTTTGGACTAATATAGACTAACCTTACACTTTCAGGCAAACATTAATTCAAGTGGGTCCTTCAAGAACCAATTACTTTTCATAAGATATACTAATAAATAATAACTCAAAGTAATTTTTTTCTTCAAGACCCTTTAGTAGTTCCATAGAGGGAACAATTTTTATTTCTTAGTTTCTGTTTGTTTGTTTGTTTGTTGAGACAGGGTCTCACTATATAGTTGAGACTGACCTGGAACTCACTGTGTAGCACAGGCTGATCTTGAACTCACAGTGATCCTCCTGCCTCAGCCTCCCGAGTGCTGGGATTACAGGTGTGGGCCACGACGCCTGGCCTGTTTTTGCTTTTTTGACAGTGTCTCACCATGTAGTTGAGACTGAACTGGAACTCGCTATGTAGTCCAGGTTGACCTCGAACTCACAGCAATCCTTGATCCTTCTGCCTCAGCCTCCCGAGAGCTGGGATTACAGGTGTGCACCACCATGGCCGTCTTATTTCTTAGTTTCTTTAGACCACCATTCCCATGACTAGTCCAATAAATACTGGAGAGAAGGCTGAGCAACAGTAACAGTAATGTAATTTCATGTGGTTACACAGCATAACATGAGAACTTTGTTTTTCTAAGATAATTAATAAATTTGGGCCAGAGACATCTAAAAACAGGGACAGCAGCTTAGTGGTGGAGTGCTTGTCTACTATGCCGGGGTTGTATTCCTAACACACACACACACACACACACACACACAAATTCACACACTGATTGCAAAATAAATCTGGTAATGATCAATAAAGCAATTCCACAGTCATAAAATGAGTTTTTAAAATCTGCTTTTCCCCCTAAGACATCTTCCACACTTACTCATTCAAGAGCTGATTATCTAGAAAGTGTAATATACAAACCTGTTACTTTTATTCCCCTTCTGCTGCCAGATTCTTGGTCATTTCACAGCTCATTAGTGTTCTCTCTTTGGGAAAATAAAAGCAAATGTAGCTCAATCCAGTATTTCTCAACTTTCTACATGAAGATTTTGTAGGAAAGATTATAATTGTTGGCTAATATATCATTTTTCCTAGTATTTCAATAGATTCTTCTGAGCAGTGAGAAAGAATTAAAGAAGCTTAAGGCATTGCCTCTCCTCTTCAGAGGGGGATAAACAAGGTTTGTGTACATTAAAGCCAAATGCCAACACAAAGCAATATACATTTTACTTTATTTTATCAATGTATTTTTATTAGTACGTTTATAGTACAAAATCAGTATATAATGATTACACCTAGTGTGGGGAGTTTGTACATGTACATATTTTAATTTTGGGGGGGTATCTCCCATCCTATCCCTCTTTGTTTCCTCCAACTCTTTGTGTTTTTTTGTTTTGCTTTGTTTGGTACCAGGGATTGAATGCCGGCCCTTGTGCTTGCAAGGCAGACCTCAGAACCACTGAGCCAAACCCCCAGCCCCACTTCCTCCAACTCTTAATCCTCTCCCCATTTGAAAAAGAAAATCCATTTTTATTTCTTTTTTAAATCCTTTTTCCCTTCCTCCCCTCCCTTCTTCGTCTCCAGTTCCCATTTGAAAAAGATCTCCCTCCTTCCTATTGTCTAGCCTTTATTTTCTTTTCATTAATATTTTGGCTTTCTCACGTAAGGGAAATCATGTGAATACTGAAACTTGTGTGCCTGATTTGTTTCACTTAACATTATGGTCTCAAGGTGCATCCATTTGCCTACTGATGCCTCAAGTTTATCCTTCTTCACAGCACAGTAGTCCTCCCTTGTATATAAATAGCACATTTTCTTTATCCATTCACCTAATGATGACCATATAGGCTGTTTCCGATATTTAGCTATTATAAACCGTGCTTCTATAAATATGGATAAGCATGTATCACTAATATGATGACTTTTACTCTATTGAGAAGGTTTTTAGAAGGGGAATAGCTAGGTTTAATGGAATTTATGTTTTTTGGGTTTTTTTTAAATAAACTTTGTTTCAATGTAATAAAACATATTAATAAATAAAATATTCTTTAAAACAGTCTTACTTCTATGAGAAAGTAAAGCAAAATTTCATAACAAGTTAATTAAAGAATAACATTAATTAATACACTGTGTACCTTAATCTTAAAAGAATAGCCAAAATGTTAGAGTACGTTATAGACAAAAAACACTTTAAAAAAATAGATAATAGCACAAAACTCTCTTTTCAATAAACTAAGAGGACCTAGCAGTATAAATGAAACACATTAGCACATATATTGAAATATTTTTGGAACCATGGAATATATCATTTGAGGAATTATTAGAACTCCCTACTTCCAATTGTTTTTAGGCTTTTGAGGCATTTCCATAGTGGCTGTACTAGTTTATATTCCAACCAACGATGTAGAAAGTGGGTAGGGAATTAGCTCAGTGGCACTGTGCCTGCCTCACAAGCATACGGTCCAGAGTTGGATCCTCAGTACCAAAACCAAAACCAAAACACAATGTAAAAGAATGCTTTTCCCCCTGCAGTCTCACCAGCACTTGTTATTATGTGATTTCTTTAGGATAGCCATCCTTTCTGGAGAAAGATAGCATCTCGATGTTGTTTTGATTTGCATTTTTCTAATGGCTAGCAATGTTGAACATTTTTTCAGGTATTTTATTTGTACTTCTTCTGAGAAGTTTTTATTCATTGCAGTTGCTCATTTTTTATTGGATTTTTTTTTTTTTTTTTTTTTTTTTTTGGAGACAGGCTCTATGTGTCCAGGCTGACCTTGAACTATGTAGTCTAGGCTGGCCTAGAATTTGTGATCCTCCTGCCTCAGCCTCCCAAGTGCTGGGATTATAGGCGTGGCTTCATGTGTTTTTTGTTTTATTTTGGTTTTGGTTTTGGTACTGGAGATCAAATTTGGGACATTGAGCTTGTGAGGCAGGGGCAGAACCACTGGGCTAAATCCCCAGCCCTCATGTGTTTAAACTTACTGTAAATGATAACATACTTCATGTATCTTCATTTTTTCATTCAATATTATATTTTTTAAAGACTTATATATATTGTAGTTTCAGTTCTAGTTCACTTATTTACTTATTTGTTTTGGGTTTTTTTGGTACCGGGGATGAACTTGGGTCCTTGCACTTAGGAGGCAGGCAGCAGAACCACTGAGCTAAATCCCCAGCCCTTACTTACTTATTTGTAGTACTGGGGGTCAAACTCAGGGCCTCATGCATGCTATCTTGCTCATTTATTTTAGCCAATACATAACATTCCACTTTGTGATTACACAATTTACTTACCAATTTTCAGGTTAATGGACATTTCGGTTACTTTGGATTTTTTTCTGTTGAAGATAGTGTTTCAGTGAACATGCATTTACATGTCTCCTACATTTGAGGGACAGTTTTGGGAGGGAATACGTGAAGAGGTCGAATTATTAGACTGTGAAATAAGGGCATCTTTAACTTTTAATAGAACTCATTAGATTGGCTTACACTGTTGTTGTGCCAATTTGCAGGCCTCCCAGGAGTGTATGTGAATTCTCCTATCTACCTTACCTTTGCAATTCTGATTGGAAGTTTGCATCAGTTTAGAACTGCCAACCTGGAGTCAATATTTACTGTGAACTGGCTGTATGTGTAGGTGACCTTCAGTTTGGGGCTTACCGTGAACCAGCCTCACCCAAGCTCAAAGGGTGTATCAAACCTCCAGGAAGGACTGGGAAACAAAAAAGAAGGAGTGGCTTAGTGGTTGAGAACTAGGAACAGACTTTATTTATTTCTGCTTCTCCAATACGTAGTACACACTGAAACTCAATAATCAAGGTTCAGTAGACGTTCAGTTAATCTGCCTTTGGCTTTCAGTTCTCTAAGATTTGGTTTCCCTGGCTGTAAATTATGGGAGAAAATAATTCAAAGAGTCATTCTAAAGAAAGCTTCTGCCAGGCGTGGTGGCGCACACCTGTAATCCCAGCACTCAGGAGGCTGAGGCAGGAGGACAGCTGTGAGTTCAAGACCAGCCTGGGCTCTATAGTGAGTTCCAGGTCAGACTCAACTACATAGTGAGACCCTGTATCCAAAAGAAATAAAAGAAAAGAAATAAAAAAAATAAAGAAAGAAAGCTTCTGTGTTGTGATTTCTCTTAGTTTTTGATATTTTTATTTTTAAAAAATTTTTGTACCTGGGATCGAATTTAGGACTTTGTGCTTGCAAGGCAGGCACAGCACCAGTGAGCTAAATCCTTGGCCCAATTTTTTATTTTTTAATACTAAGGTTTGAAGCTGGGGCTTTCCCACTGAGCTATATCCTCAGCTCCGCCCCGCCCTTTTTTTTTTTTTTTTTTTTTTTTTTTTTTTTTTTTTTGATTTTAAGACAGAGTCTTGCTAAGTCACAACATTTCCCAGGCTGGGTTAATCTTTCAACTCTCCTGCCTCAGCCTCCCAGAGTTCTGGGATTACAGGCATGCACCACCACAGTGGGGTGTGACTTCTTAGATATTACCAGATACATTTTAGTGGGTTAAAAGCATTGCCAGGTTTCTCATTGGCATTCTTCTTGTAACCCTAATACATTCTGGAGTCCCACATACCTCAACCTCTGTTCAGGGTCTCCTACAAAAAAAAGCAAACACAGTGATTCAAAAAAGATATTCTAATCTTTATTTGCAGTTCTCAAAGGACATCAAAGAGGATATCATGGTATAGGGTCACACTTGAGTTTCATCTAATCCTTTCTATTCCTTAGGCATAAACTCACAATTTCTTTCTCTAGTACCCCGCTTATCGTTTCTGTTTAGCCCCCCCCACACACACCTTTTTTCCAACATTTTAAAGGCTGACCTATTCCCTCTGTGGCTCATTTATTTTCTCAGATGTCCACCATCATTCCCTAAATTCCATGTCACACATATAGCCAAGAAATCTGGAAAATACTCACAGGGATTGAGGGAAGCATAAATATCCATAGCTCAATGAATCATTCTATAGCATATGTTTCTGTCACAGAATGCAATGACATTATTTTCATTTTGTACAATTTTTTTTTCTTTTTCGCAGTGTGGGGGGACTGAACCCAAGACTTCACTATTTTCACTTTGAATATTTAAGAAATGAGAACTTTCTGTATTCCTTTAGGCTTGTTTTTGTTTAAAGAATAAAAGTTTAGGGTTGGGGATTTAGCTCAGCGGTTCTGCCGCCTGCCTCACAAGCACAAGTTCCCGAGTCCGATCCCCAGTACC